GCCGCGATTCCCGGGGTTTCCGTGCGAGCCCGCGGCGCGCGTGAGCCCAGGCCCAGTCCCCCGCGCGGCCGATCGATCTGCCTGTGCGCCGCGGGGGACGCGCGCGCTCGCGGCATTGCGGGAGTTGGTTTCTCTTAGGTTTTTGTGGGTGCGGGCTGTTTCAATCTGACGCCGCGACTCGTCGGCGCAGGGTGATCGAGGAGGGAGAGGGGAGAAGCTCGGCCGAGCGGATCGATCCCGTCGGGCAGGGTGGGGACCAAGGAGCGGAGGATGTCGAGGAGGGCGGTGAACCCCGGCCGCCGGGCCTCGGACGGGGGCCTGCCCACCGTCGCCAGCCTGCTCCACCACAAGTCGCGCTCGCCCTCCGTGCTCACCATGGCACTGCTCGCCCTGGTAACCACCTTTCACCCCCTCTTCTCCCTCGCTAGAGTGCTGACGCTGTTGTTTGGCTGAATGCTCAAGACGTTTCTGCTGCTGGTTGTTTGTTTGTTTGTTGCAGGGAGTGATTATTCTCATCGTCTACTTCAACAGCGGCTCAGGTGGGTTGCAAATTCCCAGCTTTGGTACGCGTTTCCCTTGCCGTGTGTCTGTGTAATTGCTGTGTAGATTGCAAAATGGCTGGCAAAATTTGCAACACTGCCATGAAAGCAGCTTTGTTGCTCTGTTCTCTGCTCTGCTTTCAACTGAAGTTGTTTCAGTTAGCGAGTCGATACTGAATTTGGGAGTATGTGTGCTTGTAGTGATGTTATTTGTTGCAGGGAGTGATTATTCTCATCGTCTACTTCAACAGCGGCTCAGGTGGGTTGCAAATTCCCAGCTTTGGTACGCGTTTCCCTTGCCGTGTGTCTGTGTAATTGCTGTGTAGATTGCAAAATGGCTGGCAAAATTTGCAACACTGCCATGAAAGCAGCTTTGTTGCTCTGTTCTCTGCTCTGCTTTCAACTGAAGTTGTTTCAGTTAGCGAGTCGATACTGAATTTGGGAGTATGTGTGCTTGTAGTGATGTTATTTGTGATAAAGTATCTAGAGTAGAGTTGTATTGTACCTGCTGTTTATATATTAATTGATCATCCACACTTTATTCGAAAATAAACTGGTTGTCACATTCAAATAGTATTGGGGTTTCTAGGACTGTTATACGGTGTTATGGATATACTCTGTGATTGAAGTTACTGATCTGTGGTCTGGCCTCAGTGAGAAAGATGTAAATATTGTGATCTAATACTTCTTGTTTGACTCTTTCCCCAATGGCCAGGTGTAACTGTTACGAGCAGAGAATCTGTGAGCAGAGCTGAAGGTATATAATTCTTTTGTGTCACTTCTTCCGTGTGTCAAGCCGAATCTTACTCTTATTTATAGAGTCACCTGATGCAAGTTTCTGAATTATGCCTCCTGAACTTGTGAGTTGGATACGTTGTGAACGTTTTTACTTGTAACTCGAAACTGTTCCCTTTTCTGTCTGTTTCAAGCTTACTCTCGTTATAATGTATTGTGCAGTTGTTTGTTTCAAACTTTTTTGCTACAAGTACCATACTTTGCATTGAAGATATTATATTCTGTTGTTGTATCATTGTTTAATAGCACTACAGCACATGATGCTCACATGGGACATCCACATTATATGTGTTGATTTGATTGATAATAGGAGTGTCCTGGGCCTATCCTGCATTTTGACTCTTATCTATATTTGTTCTTCCAGCCTCCTAGTTTGTTTGTTATAAGGTTGTCTTTAGTTTTCATTAGGAGATGTAATAGTGCATATTAAATTATTAATATGCTCACACAACAAGCAAACTGTATCTTACCAACATAATTTTGTCGTGTGGTCTGCTCTAATGCAGGAAATTTGTTATCCTTGTTTACTCTGTTATCATAATCGTCAGAATAGCCAAGTAGTAAATCCCCAAAGTTATAATAAACTACTCCCTCCGTCCCACAATATAAGACACTTTTATAAGTTATGTTAGCTTGCAAAAACGTCTTATACTATGGGACGGAGGGAGTATCTTAGAAATGGTTAATTATCAGCTTGTTACAAGCCAACACAGATATTTTACAGTGGCCTGGTCTTCAGTGAACATTGATTTTTGGTTGATCTGATTGTGTTGTGTGTTACTGTCTTCTTTGTATTTTGTTTCCCAGATCATGACTGGGAGGAATTGTATGGTCCTCCTTTAATTACCTCCTTTGTTTTGCATTTGCATCCAGGTTCTTGCACATCAGAAGTTATGCAGGCACTTCCTTATCTTAAAAAGGCGTATGGCAGTGCTATGCAGAAGGTTCTCCATGTAGGCCCAGATAGTTGTACAGTAGTTTCTAACTTGTTGAAAGAAGGGAAGGAAGCATGGGGAGTGGAGCCTTATGATTTGGATGATGCTGATAGTAGCTGCAAAAGCCTTGTGCGCAAGGGATTTGTCCGTTTGTCTGATATCAAGTTCTCTCTTCCATACCGCCCAGATTCTTTTAACCTTGTTGTCGTGTCAGATGCTTTGGATTATCTGACCCCAAGGTATCTGAACAAAACACTTCCAGATTTAGCAAGGGTCTCCACCGATGGCCTTGTTATCTTTACTGGTATGTCCTTCTCTTTTCATTTTGGGACATTTACTTCCTTTTCTTTGGGAGGACCTTTATTTTATGTACTCCCTCCGTTCCTAAATATAAGTCTTTGAAGATATTCCACTATGGACCACATACGGAGTAAAATGAGTGAATCTATACTCTAAAATGCATCTATATACATCCGTATGTGGTTCATAGTGGAATCTCTACAAAGACTTATATTTAGGAATGGAGGGAGTATAGTTGCATGCATTTGTTCATCTTCAGAGATAACATTACTGATCTTCTTTGTATGTATTTCTGAGATATAGAGAGAGCAATCCTTTTTATTTACTTTTGCCTTGTTCCTGCCAATGTTCTGCCAATAGTTGAGGATGGCTCCCCTCGAACTTATTTCTGATAATACTGTTATTAAGTAACATAGCAGTGTTATTTGGATATAACATAGTCCACAAAACACAACTTTGACCACTAGTTGAGTATATCTGTAGATCCCAACAATTATAGTAGCATGGAAGTACTTTCCAAATCAAATCTTTAGTTCCTTCGTTCCGAGTATAGATGTTTCTAAACATATTGGTGCCAAACTGTAGAAACTTTGGCCGCGCACATCCTGAAATGCTTCCCTTTTCTGACTTGTTGGGGAATAGTAGTACAGCTTGATGTTTGTATTTATACAATATTATTTAATGACCATTAATTCTGTGGTATATGTACATGTTTTGCTTGTGTCTGGTGGATGATATAAAATATCCAAGCTAATATTTATTTCTGTTACTCTTATCCAGGCAATCCAGGACAGCAGAAGGCTAAAGTTTCTGAGCTACCAAAATTTGGAAGACCGGTACGTACAAATGACTTCTCATTGCTGGCATGGCGGCCTTAAGAAATGTTTCCTACTCCCTCCGTTCCAAAATAGATGACCCAACTTTGTATTAAAGTTAGTATAAAGTTGAGTCATCTATTTTGGAACGGAGGGAGTATATGACATCAAGTTCATGATGTCCACTTTACTGAACTCAAGCTAAAACAAATTGAACACATTTAATGCTCGTGACCCAAAAAGGAATCATTATAAATCACTGAAGAGTTCTGTGTTTACCCAATAGGTTAATAGTCACCCAGTGATCCGTGCTTATGCTTTACCAAATCCTGCTCATGTGACATTTTCATGTTTGGATATATCGCATCAATACATTATAGAATGAGTTGTATCTCATTATCTCATATGTTAACCAAGTTTCTGACCTACTGTGTTGCACATCAGTGTTGCACATTGCCAAGTCTGCTAGGCTGTACATTTGTGCTATTGATTGTGAGATTTGTCAGTAGTAGCTGATGTAGTGCAAGTATTCACATGCTCCAGAACCTATAGAATAAGGAAGCGCCTGACTGAAGGCTGTGAAATTCTGATGATACTTTTCTGATCCAGGTGACAGAGAGCCTTGACTGACAAAACCTGCTGTGTTTTGTGTTGTTGACAGGCAAAGTTGCGGAGTAATTCATGGTGGACGCGCTACTTTATCCAGACAGGCTTGACAGAGAATGAAGGGCCATTGAAGAAGTTTGAGCAGGCTGCTTCCAAGGGCAACTACGAACCGGACTGTCAAATCTTCCACCTCAGCTCATAGTATCTTGCCGACCGGGGCAACGTCTATCCATGACACCTTGGATCACCGCCACACCGTTTTTGTAAGCAATATCATCCCCCGCCCACTCTGTGCGGAGGAAGTGTGTCACACGAAGAGAGCCAGCCCTTCTGCCGTAGGTAGCTTGTGTAGAGAGGCTTTACCACCTGTTGCTAGAAAGATTCTTTCTGGAGATTAAATTATGTGTTATTATTAAGCAAGGCCAGAGGACAGATATATATGCGAGAACTTTACTACACTGTTGTACGATGTGTTACATTATTGGGTGTCAAATGTAAACTCCTCCAAGAGAGGCTGATTGTCATGTGTCGTGTCTCTTTCTTGTTACTTGGATGGGTGTCATTGTCGTAATTTTCTCAGTTTGGGTGATGCTTGAGAAGGATGGTCTACCAGACATAGGATTAGAGATAGTACATATTTATCTTTGTAACGATAAGTTGATGTCCTAATTTGAAGCTTTGCTAACAATTGCGTATAAGAAACAGGAAGGCATAACAAACCCCATTAGATTATGTCATGAGGTCCTTTGTTTTCAAACCACACCTCTGTATTATATTCTGTTCTTTGTATTGGTCTTCCTTGAACCAGAACCAACAGATTTGTTCTTTTTTTGTTCTTGTGAACATGCATATTCAAATATTCCATACCTGTCGCATACATATGAAATTGCATCTGATTAAAAAAAACACATGAAATTGCATCTTGTCCTCTCTTGAAGTGCAGACATCAACTTGCTCTCACAAAATTCATTTCGTCAACAGACGCATGCAACCCATCGCCATCATTATCATCACGAGTGTGTCCTCTCGTTGACTAATCCAGTTTGCAAGCCGAGCAAGGCCGTAATCATCCACTAACCTGTTTATAAACCCCCATAAAACAATCTGTTGCCTCCATCCTTTCCTTCCGTGCCCCTATACAATACACAAGGATCATGGAAGGCTTGCTGCCGTTCCTGTACAGGGCCATCCTCCTCCACTACATCGACGGCGGCCGGACGCCCACCGGCGACAGCCCCTTCCCCCGCAGCGACTCGCCATCAACCTCACGGTCCTATTACGTCCGCCTCGCCGGCAGCGCCGACGACTTTGGCCGGCTCCGGTTCGCCCCCACTTGTCCCGCCAGCAGCGACGCGCTCCTGTGATGGGAATAATGGATAATCATCTTCTCTCGTTTCCGGGGTCCTTCTTTCTTCTTCAGTAAATTTTAGGCGTGGGTACCTCTGGGTGTTGTACAGTATGGTTTTGTGGTTTGCATCCGCAGGAAAAGCAAACTGGATCAAAGATTTACAGTACTATAGTAGTACGTTCCAGTTAAATACAGTGATGATGTTGCTGCTGCGGTCACCTCGAGATTTCAATGGTTTCAGCAGCAGTTGGCAGTATTTCTTACATTCTCGTCAGTAGCCTTGACACTCCAGTGATGTTGTGTGCATGATGGCTTCTACGAACACTACCAATTTCGTCATAATGGATGCTTAAGCTTTCTAGCTTTAATTTGCACGATCTACAAAATTTACACGATTTCTAGGGTGAATGGTCTTCACCCTACACTAGAAAAGGCAAACTGAAAATGTGTGCCAAGTTGACCAGGAGTGCGATTTACTCCTCCGCAAAAAGAAGCGCAAGATGATCTCCAATATATACATGTAGCGGATGCTGGAAATACAGATTTTATTAAACCCAAATAATCTAGCTAGGAATCAGGCCACCTCCATATCGGATTAGAAAGCCTCCTAATCTCCTCTGGGGCCATATCTGCAAACTGGTTGAGTCTTAAGGCCATTTCTAACCGATCCCTAATGAATAGAGGAGGATACGGTAGAGTAAACTCTTGTTGGAGTATATTTACTCCACTAAGATTTGGCCGGACCTAGCTCATCCCCTATATTTAACGGAGTAAATGTTTGCTTTTTTCTAAACTTTGCATTCTACTACCTCTCTCCCAGTTTACAAGGCGTGCGCGTGCCCCTAGGTCGTCAATTTGACTAACCTAATACAAGTCATATATTACAAAAAATATACCAATATAAACTTTAGATGTTCTATTTCCAAACTGTATAATTTTTGTGTTATATAGTTTATATGAAGGTGATAAAATTGGCAACCTAGGTATACGCATAGGACTTTTAAACTGAAACGGAGGTAGTAGTATACATTGCCACATTGCCACTACATATTAGCTACTCCCTCCGTTCCAAATTACTCGTCGTGGTTTTAGTTCAAATTTAAACTACTAAAACCACGACGAGTAATTTGGAACGGATGAAGTACATATTGGCACACATATAGAAACCGAACATAAATTTGAATGTTCAAGCAAATCATGGATATAGTTTACAGACCAAATTATTCAAATTTAAGCACACCGAATGGTCCAAACGTAACAAATAACATGTGATAGAACAATTAGGATTCGCTATGACGTTGCCAGTGATGCTCAATACGATCTTCTTGGAGCTGAGCATGAACTTGTCGGTTCTCGATCTTGCGATGCCCTTCAAGGAATGCCAAGATCCTATTCGGATCATACTATGACTCAACCGGAGTCCCGTTGGTGATGTGCCGAAAGTTCTCAGGCACATCCCTCTTGTTTTCAATGATCATGTTATGCAATATTGGTGCAACAAGTCATGATCCGTCATAGAACCTTGGAGCTCCAGTACTCGGCAGGGCCACGAACAATTGCAAAGCGCTTTTGTAGCACACAGAAGGCTCTCTCCACATCTTTCCTAGCAGCTTCTTGACATTGAGCAAAGTGAATATTTTTGTTACCTTTTGAACACGAAATTGTTTTGGCCAAAATGGCCCATTGTGGATAGATGCCATCCGCAAGGTAGTAACTCATCGAGTAGTTGTGCCCATTGACCGAGTAGTTGCAAGTAGGAGCATCTCCTGTAATAAGCTTGGAGAACAGTGGTGATCTCGACAGTACATTCAAGTCATTACGAGAGCCAGGCAAACCAAAAAAATGAATGCTATATCCAAAGATCCTTTGTTGTAACTGCCTCAAGAATGATCGTTGGATTGTCGGTGTGGTCTTTGTACAGACCCATCCACCCTGCAGGACAGTTCTTCCATCTTTAATGCATACAGTCAAGTGATCCAATATAACGCCCTCGATGCGGCTATATCTCCCACGTGTCGAAGCACGACTTAGAGGCATAACCGCATTGAAAGCAATGTCGCAAGTGAGGTAATCTTCACACAACCCATGTAATACATAAGGGAAAAGATACATAGTTGGCTTACAATCGCCACTTCACACAAATACATGAATAAATCATTACAACATCCAAATACAATCAAGGTCCGACTACGAAACCAAAATAAAAGAAGAACCCCAAATGCGACAAGGTCCCCGATCGACCCCAACTGGGCTGCACTACTGATCCACTAGAACGAAACAACACAAAGGACAAGATCTTCATCGAGCTCCTCCTGAGCTTGGTTGCGTCATCTGCACGGACTCATCGGCACCTGCAAGCTGGTTTTGGAAGTATCTGTGAGCCACGGGGACTCAGCAATCTTGCACCCTCGCGATCAAGACTATTTAAGCTTATGGGTACGGTAAAGGTATGAGGTGGAGCTGCAGCAAGCGACTAGCATATATGGTGGCTAACATACGCAAATGAGAGCGAGAAGAGAAGGCAAAGCACGGTCGATAAAAGTATGATCAAGAAGTGATCCTAGAACAACCTACGTCAAGCATAACTCCAACACCGTGTTCACTTCCCGGACTCCGCCGAGAAGAGACCATCACGGTTACACACGCGGTTGATGTATTTTAATTAAGGTCAACTTCAGGTTTTCTACAACCGGACGTTAACAAATTCCCATCTACCCATAACCGCGGGCACGACTTTCAAAAGTTCAAATCCCTGCAGGGGTGTCCCAACTTAGCCCATCACAAGCTCTCACGGTCAACGAAGGATATTCCTTGTAGCGGGAAGACCCGATCAGACTCGGAATCCCGGTTACAAGACATTTCGACAATGGTAAAATAAGACCAGCAAAGCCGCCCGATGCGCCGACAAATCCCGATAGGAGCTGCACATATCTCGTTCTCAGGGCACACCGGATAGGTCAAGCTACGAGTAAAACCAACCCTCGAGTTGCCCCGAGGTGGCCCCGCAGGCTGCCCGTTTCGGACCAACACTCAGAGGAGCACTGGCCCGGGAGGGGGGGGGGTTTAAAATAAATATGACCCTCGGGCTCGCGAAAACCCAAGGAAAGGTTATAGGTTGTTAGTGCAAATGGTAAAACCAAAGTTGGGCCTTGCTGGAGGAGTTTTATTCAAGGCAAACTGTTAAGGGGTTCCCATTATTACCCAACCGCGTAAGGAACGCAAAAACCGGGAACATAACACCGATATGACGCAAATTAGGGCGGCAAGAGTGGAACAAAACACCTGGCATAAGGCCGAGCCTTCCACCCTTTACCAAGTATATAGATGCATTAATTAAATAAGAGGTATTGTGATATCCCAACAAGTAAACATGTTCCAAACAAGGAACAACATCTCCATGTTCCAACAAGGAACAAACTTCAATCTTCACCTGCAACTAACAACGCTATAAGAGGGGCTGAGCAAAGCGGTAACATAGCCAAACAACGGTTTGCTAGGACAAGGTGGGTTAGAGGCTTGGTTCAACAATATAGGAGGCATGATAAACAAGTGGTAGGTATCGCAACATAGGCATAGCAAAAGAGCGAGCAACTAGCAAGCAAAGATAGAAGTGATTTCGAGGGTATGGTCATCTTGCCTGAAATCCCGCAAGGAAGAAGAACGAGTCCATGAAGAAGACAAACGGACGTAGTCGAACGGGTCCTCACAACACGACGTTATCGGAACCAACCCGAAGAAGCAACACCGGAAAGAAGCACACGATATAGTAAACAACCATCACATAATCATGTCATGATGCACAATCAAGTATGATGCATGTCCGGTTTAAAGAGGCATGGCATGGCAAAGTGCACAAACAACACTACAAGTTAAGTGGAGCTCAATATGCAACGAGTTGCATATTGACGGAACACCACATGCCTTATTTAGTTCTCTCTCGTTTTATGTACTCAACAAGATTAAATGTTGTTAGCATGGCAAGAGGTGAAACATGATGAAACTATCTAATCTAGGCAAGTTTAAATGAGGTCGGAACAACAAAACAACAAGTCCGAAAACTCCTCATATGCATATATTAGGTTTGTTACTATTCTTCCCTAAACATAATTTTAGAGTTGTTAAACATGCTAGGTGAGTGCACCATGTTAAACTAGGCATTTTTCTACCCCATTTACATATAAGGTTTAATAAAATCCGAGTTACGGTTATTTAGTTATGAATTAAATCATTTTAACATGGCATATGAGCAAAAATTAGTCAAACAACATTTTAAGCATTTTAAACATGGGTTAAAGTTGCATATTATGAAACTAGACAAAATTCTAAGCAACTTTCATATTAAGTTTGTTTTAATATGATGCACTGTTTGTGAGTAATAAAATGCATGAAGTTTGAGGGCTTTACTGCAATTTTGTCACTCTCAGGATAAATAGACAAATCGTTCGCAGGAAAAAAATAGTGACTCGGGCCAAAACTGAGAGGGGCTGGGGAGCTGCTCACATCGGGCTTGACTGGGCCAGCTCGGATCGGGAAGGAAGCAGGCCGGCTTGGGGCGGTAGCTGGTGGCCCAGGAGGCGAAGGAGCTGGGCAGGCCACGGTCAACGCTCGAACGAGCGAGCCACTGCTGCTCTCGTTTCGTTTCTGAAGAACAGAAACAACAGCAGGCCATGGCGATGTAGAAGACGGACGGCGCGGCAACGGGGCTCCGGCTAGCTGAGGAGTCCGGCAACGAAGGGGATGGTCGGGACCCGACGGATCCGAGGAGACGAGGTGGCCGGAGTTGGAGCTCCATGGCGGCAGTTTCTCTGCAAAACGGCGGCGGTGCCACACAAATCAGAGAGAGGGAGATGAGATGAGGGGACCGGAGGAAGGCGAGAAAGGGAACCAGGGCGGCGCTCAACTGAGACGGCGACAACGGAGATGACCGGGACCCTCCTGGTCCAGAACGAGCGAGGCAGGAGGACTCGGGCGCACTGGTGACCTACTGGTCGGGTGCTGGTCGCGGCAGAGGCTTGG